GAGCAACTCACGATTTGATTCGATTCCGATTCTCTAGGTGTTGATTCAATTCAGAATCGATTCTCGATTTAAATCAATTCACAATTAATATTAACAAAGAGTGTCAGTTCTAGGATTAACTACTTTGTTGTACAAGTTAATTAAAGCTATGGGACATTTTTATTTTACTTTAAACCGGTCATGCTCAAAAAATGCTAATTTACAAGGTAAACTAAAGTGATTCTAAAACTGTAAACAGAAGCAATCTTTTGACCAAAAGTCAACATTTATTTTTGCTTACCTTGTAAAATATAACAAGTCTTTAGTTACCTAACAGTAGCTTTGAAAGTAATACAGTTAAATACGTTTCAAGTACGTGTGGAAACAAGTTTAACAGTTGAGTCCTCAACCTGTTTAAAAAAAGTGCCTCAGATTTCTTAGAAAGGAAAATGTGTTCTCTCATTTATCAATAACTTAAAATAAATACATGATAATCCCGAGAACTCACTTATCAATTTAGAAAATAAATATGAGATTATCTCAACTTGATGAGTATGGAAAAAATTACATTCAAGTGCCCACTTATCAGCAGATTCAAAAATAAATCATCTCAATTTATGGGACCACTCTCCTAACAAAGATTAAAAAAAAGACATCTCAAACCTGTAACATGCCAAACATTTGAGTTCTTGGGATCGATTCTGAACCTTTGTGAATCGATTCTGAATCTTTATAAATAAGAATCCCGATTCAGACTTTAATCGATTTTTTTCAGCATCTCTAATTGTGACCCTACTAAAGTGACCCTACACGCAAAGAAAACTATCCTTATGAATTGGAAAAATAGAGATACTCTTTGCAGTAACCAGTATAGAAATCTTTTGTTACACTTACATATTACACTTGATACAACCTCTGCTTCCACTTCAAGTCAATCTCTTTGGGCTCCTTTGATCAGTTCCATTGCATGGCGATGATGGGAAGTCATTGATATTGTCCTGCAGGATGATGTGGGTGAGGGGGTGGAGGGTCTGAGTTTGCGTTGGGCGGGGGAGCCTGCTTATCAGCACCCCAGCAGAAAGGGTCGAACTCTGGGAACCGGTGATGTTTGTACCCCACATGCAGCAGTACCGGGACCAGAGTGAATAGGGTGTGGGTGTCCGACGTGCATTTTTGTAAGTCTTAGGTTGTATGTGTATGTGTGAGTATGAGGGGGGTAGTGTGTCACTGTGTCTGTACACACACACACACACACACACACACACACACACACACACACACACACACACACACACACACACACACACACACACACACACACACACACACATATATATATATATATATATATATTTCAGATGGGGCCTTTGACTCCTCCCCTCTCCTGGGACTTCTTTTGATGCTATACATCTTCGCCTCCCCTCCCCCTGCCACACTTGGTGTGGAGTGTGGTGCCTTGATCTGCCTGAGTGGTCGTGGCTTCTGGTTCAGGGGGTTTAAGATTTTTGGCATCTGCCTGATTAATCCCGGTGGCTGCCTGATGGGGTTTGAGTCCCTGGGCTCTGCTGGGTCCCCGGCTGGGCTGGTCGCCCCTGGGTCTCGGGTCACAGGGTTCTGGGCTCGGCCGGCTTGGGGGTGGGAGGCTGCGGGCAGGCCTGTGAGCTTGCCGCTGATATCTCCCGGGACTCTGCCGGCTGCTGGTTGTGGCCCCCCGGGGCAATCCTCTGCGCCTCTCGAGGGGGGCAGGTGCTTTTCTGGTTGCAGTCTCCCTGGGGTCCCTGCGCTCTGGGGCAGCTCCTGGATCTCTGGGACTTGGAGCTCCCTCCGTCTCCTACGCATCTTTGGGGTGCAGATCTGTGGCCCCTCACACTCTCTGTTGGACGCTCTTATAGAGAAACCTTTCATATACAAGCGTGTGTACACACACAGGTGCTCACATGGTGCTCTCATAAGTATGGACTTGGACACATTCAACACATGTCTTAAGGCTGTGGTTGGCACTTAAAGGGGCATTATGGAAGTTTGACAGCCAAAACATGTATAGAAATAATAAATTTCTTCTTCATACATTCTCCTGCAATGCCCTGATCCTGTAGAATGAGCCCTGGCATTTTTACTGTGATTGCCTGTTTTTCTCTAAAATCACAGAAAAAGAGAGCTGCTCGGGTCGAGCAGGCTGCTTCATGCGCGTTCACGCTCAGGCATAGCCCGTAGCATTTGCTATCCGTAGATTTAGCAGCAGAGAGAGAGGTAGTGCCAACTCAGCCACTTTGTCGCTGTTCCTAACGCCTATGACAAACCTAGCTACATTTCTGAGGACCCTTAGCTACTTTCTGTAGAACTTTCTTCTAGATATTTCCTGCAAATTAGCAACAAAATAGCCATTTTCGCTTCTAACCGTTCTTTGGTTTGACGTTTCAGGTGTTATCAGCTATATAAAAGTTACAGATACTGTGAATGTTACTAGAGTGATGCTCTCCTTGTAAGATGTCTGACTCCCATGCGGAAGACCTGGGTTCGATTCTGGGTGTGAACATAGTTCATTTAGAGTTTCTTTTTACATTAATGGTATATTTTTTTACAGTAAGATGCCCAAATTTTTATTTGAGACTCGCCTAACGGCATTGAATTCACAGATAAAAAATGTGTTGGTTCAACTTTCATTTTGGAACTATTTTCAAGCAAGGGAAGGGAATAGAATAGAATAGAATACTTTATTTGTCAATTCTTCGAATGTGCTTGCCATACAAGGAATTGAAATTACGTTTCACACTTTCCCATGCGCAGACATTTACATAAAGTGCAGATGCACAACAATCTGTGACACTACTTAAACTGGTTGATAAATCCAGTCAGAATATTCCTTCGCTGATCCTCCGGGTCTTGCTTTAAGAGCTTCCTTAAAGGTGTGGGACACTCGTTTGATCAATGCATCTGCAGTAGTCTCCAGTACGAATAAATGCCTTGTAAGTTGTACTCAGGGGAAAAAGGCTAAGATACGCTTGTTTTAGGAACTAACAAATTGCCACTTCAGAGGAGAGCTGAACATGGCAGGATTTGGAGTCTGATTTCCTGATATTTGGATATCTAACCTCTGACTGGATAACAGCAACACGACTCTACCACTGACCCAGTTTACTTTGCAACGTTGATGTTTTATCTCTATAAATAACACAAGCTGGGAGTTGCTGTGGTGGTGTTGTTAACGCTAATGGCTAGCTTTTACTAGCCGAGATATTCTTTGCTGTTTCCTGGACACTAAACCAACAACAGCCATCCCTGTTGTTAGTAAAGATGGGTGAGTCCATGAATGTTAAGTGACAGGGTGACGTAGATTTGTCACAGATTTCAAATCTTAGTTTCACTTAGTTTCAATCTAATTTCTAACAGAAGCTAATGCAGGAGAAACCACAATGTAACCATAGAAACACTACTTGGTGTATATGTTGTGGGTGGGTTGGTGTTGGTGTGTGTGTGTGTGTGTGTGTTGTGTGTGTGTGTGTGTGTGTGTGTGTGTGTGTGTGTGTGTGTGTGTGTGTGTGTGTGTGTGTGTGTGTGTGTGTGTGTGTGTGTGTGTGTGTGTGTGTGTGTGTTAAAAGGGAGTTTTCCTCTCCACTGTCACTGCATGCTTGCTTAGTATGAGGATTGCTGTAAAGACACTGACACTAGTCAGTGACTCAATGCAACCTGCTGGGTTCATTAAATAGGAAATGTTTTACTGATTGCCTTAATGAACTGACCTGTATTGGAATGTTTACTGTATAGTATCTTGAGACGACTCTTGTTGTGATTTAGTGCTATTTAAATAAACTTGAATGGAATTTAATTGATGTAGGAGACTATTTTCATGTTCAGGCTGCATGAACAACTAAGAGTGACTGATTATGATCAGAAATCATAATTAAAATTAAAATTTTCTGTGTTCATACTTTTAGCTTACACTTTTAATTAGTGGAAAAAACATGAATTGCCATTCATTTTACAAAAATGATTCTTACCAATGATGAATGGGTTTGGAATAGTCTATTTGATGTACAACACAACCTTTACTTTCGTTTAACGAGGAATAGACTACATAGATGTGTTTTAGTGCTTTCATGTTTTCTGCTGGAAGAAAAACCATCTGAGGGAAAAGTTTGCTTCCTCTTTTATCCATTTGCGCCTCTGTTCTGTGTTTGCTAGGAACAAGTGGAAGTAAAGATGCTGGTGCTTTTGTTTAGAACACAAACACTGATCATGCTTAGTAAAGTGTAAACTCAAATGGGATGCAAATGCCTCATTCAGAGGTAACCAGGGCATGGTAATCCTAGTTATTTAAAATAACTGTTTGCTAACTGTTTGTTAAAGATATTTCGCTTCTTTTTATCACACAAAGAAAAGTGCAGTGTACCAAGCTTTTAAAGAGCAAGTCACCCCTTACAAGAAGCGTACTTCACTCCCACTTCATGTTTGAAAAATGCAACAAATGCTGTTGCCTAGCAGACCGAGAGGGTGGAGCCACTAACAAATACACACACTCACGACATTGTGACGTCATAATGTACCAGTTTACATCATAGCATACTTCTTAGCCAATAGCGGTGGCAGATTAAATTCAAATGTAGTGAAGAGTTTTTACCCGACAACGGCACAACACTGACAGTTTCAGGCAGAAAATTTAAATTTTAACTAAAATGCACTAAAGTGCAAAACTATTGACTACACATGTCTGCAGCACAATTAGACATGCATTTATATAGTTTATCAGAAAAAAATAGTTGATTCGGGGGTGACTTGCTCTTTAAATTTTTTGTCACAACCTATAAAATGAAGGGTAAATAAGACTGTGAGTTATTGTCGGACACTTTTTGCAGCAGTTCAGTATCACACGAGCTCCAGCGTGCTTCCAGCTGTGCTCCTGTTCTCAGACTTTAGTGTCTCACTCTGTTCAGCAAAGCATCTTTTGTACCTTTCGGCCATTTTGTTTGCAATAGAATGACTTACCATCTCATTTAAACTGTGTGTGTGTCTGTGTGCTTTAGATTCAGCAGGGCTTTGGTGGACGATGAACACATCTGGCGGCGCTCTCGGAGGGGAGCTCACCGATGAGGAGAAGGAGATCATCAACAACGTTCTGGCCCGTGCTGCCATGATGGAGGCCACGGAGCAGGAAAGGATTGGGTAAAACGGAGAAATTTTTTTTCCTCACAAACTCAGTGAGTCAAGCGATCTTTGGCATGAACAAGTTTGTGTAAGTGTCTGTACTTCAAACGTGTCCTCAGGCGTCTCTCCAGTCGTCTGGATAATATCAAGAAGAACGCGTGTGGGGATGGACAGTCTCACTGTCTGCTGTGTGCGGCGTCCTTTGGACCACAGGGGGTCACAGCTGTCCTCTGTGTTCAGTGCAAACATGTAAGTCATTAACTGAGCTTAAATTGAAAGTCGGGTCTTTTAAAGTGGCTTTCTGTATCAGAAAAGTACGTTACAAGTTAGTGGCTCACTTTTGGAGAAACAGATCAGATCTGATTGTGCTGACACGCTAAAGGCTAGTCACAGTGACTTAAGTAACTGAAACATTAGTGTTTTTCCTGTGTCATGACTGGAGAGTGTGTGGTTTATGAATGCTACAAACCTCCATCCTGCTTTAATTTTTGCCTCACTTAATTATTATCTTCGTCTTCGTCTTCGTCTTCCTCCGCTTATCCGGGTCCGGGTCGCGGGGGCAGCATCCCAATTAGGGAGCTCCAGGCCGTCCTCTCCCCGGCCTTGTCCACCAGCTCCTCCGGCAGGACCCCAAGGCGTTCCCGGACCAGATTGGAGATGTAACCTCTCCAACGTGTCCTGGGTCGACCCGGGGGCCTTCTGCCGGCAGGACATGCCCGAAACACCTCCCCGGGGAGGCGTCCAGGAGGCATCCTGACCAGATGCCCAAACCACCTCAACTGGCTCCTTTCGATCCGGAGGAGCAGCGGTTCTACTCCGAGTCCCTCCCGAATGTCCGAGCTCCTCACCCTATCTCTAAGGCTGAGCCCGGCCACCCTACGGAGGAAACTCATTTCGGCCGCTTGTATCCGCGATCTCGTTCTTTCGGTCATTACCCAAAGCTCATGACCATAGGTGAGGATTGGGACGTAGATCGACCGGTAAATCGAGAGCCTGGCTTTCTGGCTCAGCTCCCTCTTCCCCACGACAGATCGGCTCAGCGTCCACATCACTGCAGACGCCGAACCAGTCCGCCTGTCGATCTCCCGATCCCTCCTACCCTCACTCGTGAACAAGACCCCGAGATACTTAAACTCCTCCACTTGAGGTAGGACCTCTCCCCCGACCCGGAGGTGGCAAGCCACCCTTTTCCGGTCGAGAACCATGGTCTCAGATTTGGAGGTGCTGATCCTCATCCCAGCCGCTTCACATTCGGCCGCGAACCTACCCAGCAAGAGCTGAAGGTCAGAGCTGGATGAAGCTAGGAGGACCACATCATCCGCAAAAAGCAGAGACGAGATTCTCCTGCCACCAAACTCGACACACTCCACACCACGGCTGCGTCTAGAAATTCTGTCCATAAAAGTGATGAACAGAACCGGTGACAAAGGGCAGCCCTGGCGGAGTCCAACCCTAACTGGGAACAGGTCCGACTTACTACCGGCTATGCGGACCAAACTCACGCTCCTCTGGTAAAGGGACTGAATGGCCCTTAACAGAAAGCCACCCACCCCATACTCCTGGAGCGTCCCCCACAGGGTGCCCCTGGGGACACGGTCATAAGCCTTCTCCAAATCCACAAAGCACATGTGGATTGGTTGGGCAAACTCCCATGCCCCCTCCATCACCCTTGCAAGGGTATAGAGCTGGTCCACAGTTCCACGGCCAGGACGAAAACCACATTGCTCCTCCTCTATCTGAGATTCAACTATCGATCGGACCCTCCTCTCCAGTACCTTGGCGTAGACCTTTCCAGGGAGGCTGAGGAGTGTGATCCCCCTATAGTTGGAACACACCCTCAGGTCACCCTTCTTAAAGATGGGGACCACCACCCCGGTCTGCCACTCCCTAGGAACTGCCCCCGATGACCACGCAATGTTGTAGAGACGTGTAAACCATGACAGCCCTACAACATCCATAGCCTTGAGATACCCAGGACGAACCTCATCCGCCCCCGGGGCTCCGCCGCTGTGTAGTTGTTTGACTACCTCAGCAACTTCTGCCCCCGAGATCGGACAGTCCATCCCCAGGCCTCCCAGCTCTGGTTCCTCCTCGGAATGCGCATTGGTGGGATTGAGGAGCTCCTCAAAGTATTCCTTCCACCGTCCGACTATAGCCTCAGCTGTCATTGCCCACGTGAGCATTGAAGTCCCCCAGCAGGACAATGGAGTCCCCTGATGGAGCACTATCTAGCACTCGTCCCAGGGACTCCAAAAAGGGTGGGTACTCTGAACTGATATTTGGCCCATAAGCACAAACAACAGTCAGAACCCGTTCCCCGACCCGAAGGCGCAAGGAAGCTACCCTCTTGTCCCCCGGGGTAAACCCCAACACACAGGCAGAGAGTCTCGGGGCTAACAAAAAGCCAACCCCAGCCCTCCGCCTCTCACCCGGAGCAACTCCAGCAAAGTAGAGTGTCCAACCCCTCTCCAGGTCTCGGGTTCCAGAGCCAATGCAATGTGTCGAGGTGAGTCCGACTATATCTAGCCGGTACCGCTCAACCTCTGCCACAAGCTCCGGCTCCTTCCCCGCCAGCGAGGTGACGTTCCATGTCCCAAAAACGAGTTTTCTTGTCCGGGGATTGGACCGCCAAGGCTCCCGCCTTGGTCTGCCACTCCTTGAACCGTCACCTTATCGTGGTGGAGGAGTTTGAGTGCCCTAATGATCCTAGGAGCTATGTTGTCTGGGGCACTTAGTGCCCCTGGTAGGGTCTCCCATGACAAATTGGTCTTAGGTGAAGGGTGAGACAAAGAACGGTTCGAAGGATCTTTCATGGCGGTTAAAACGAAGAGTCGGAGTACCCGGCCCGGAGGGTTACCGGGGTCCCACCCTGGAGCCAGGCCTGGGGTTGGGGCCCGTGAGCGAGTGCCTGGTGGCTGGGCTTTCGCCCATGGGGCCCGGCCGGGCCCAGCCCGAACCGGATACATGGGCTCGTCCAACTGTGGACCCACCACCGGCAGGAGGAACATGAAGGGTCCGGTGCAATGCGAATCGGGTGGCTTAATTATTATCATTAACCAAATTATTGGTAATCAAAAAGGTCACACTCAGAACCAAAGGCACTACACCCAGCGTGACATAGGATTATATCCATGAAACCTTGCAGAACACAGTGACTTTTAAAAACATTAATTAAATAAGAATGGCAGGGATCTACTTTGTTCTGAGCCCCACTGTCATGTTCTGTGTCCCTGTGGTCCCAAGCCCCCTCCAGGTTTCCCTTGTGTTCCCCCAGACACTCACTACTTATTTAGTTTACCCATTTTTCAGTATTAAGACCCCCTGTATTATATCTCCTCTTCCTTTGGATCTGGTCTCTTTAAGCTCCTATATCTAACCCCGAGTGTTTCTAGTTTCAGGTTTATCAGTTCACCTTTCTTTAGTTTTCTGTATGGTTCGAGGTTGCTTCTCCCTTTAGTTCATTTTGATTCCTTCCCCATTTAGGTCTAGTTTCCTCCCCTGCCCTGTTCTCTCCTCCTCTCAGTTTATTAGTCTCACCTGTGCACAATTCCCTAATCACCCAGTCCACGTGTGTATATAACCCTGTCTTGTCGGTCCATTGTCTTTGTCAGTGTTCTGTCCTCCTCTAGATACTCCAGGTTCTTGCTCATAAATGAGCTTTTGTTTTTGTAATTCAGTTTTTCTAGATTTTAGGCTTGGCTTCCTGCCCTTTGGACATTTACTCATCATCCTAATAAAAGGACTTTTCATTTATTCAGCCGCTCCTGCCTGAGTTGTCTGGGTTTCTGCGTTTTGGGTCCTAACCTCCTGCTCTCAACGTGACACACTATCACTAGAAAGAGACGTTGAAACTCTGGGATTTGAAAAGCCTGGCAGATCTAAGAACGAAAAAAAAATAAAATCCTGAGGCACTTCACAAAAAATGTTTAAGTATATAAAAGGTTTTTAAAAATGTATTAGAAATATGTTTAAAATGAGAGAAAAAAATAAAAATTGTGATTAAAAAATAATCTTGTAAGGAAAGGGAGAGAGAAAATTAATAGGAAAAAGGGAAATCAGTGGATCGCAGGGAAAGGCGAGATAAGTAAGCGAGTAAGGAAAGGGTGGTGACAAAGGTCACGCAAATGTCAACTTGAACAGGTGAGTTTTCAGCTGCTTTTGTGTCAAGCGGTTGCATGGACTCGCCCATCTTGGCTCGTGACGGGGAAGGCTGTTGTTATTTTTGTGTCCAGTAATAAACAGATCATCGCTGCTAGCAGAAGCTAACCATTAGCATTAACAACTCAACCACATGGCAGAAGCTCCTCCAGGCTTGTGTTATTTGTGGAGGCAATGCATCCATACCACAGAGCAAAAGGAGTCAGTGCTAGAGTTGTGTTGCTGTTATCCAATCCAAGGTGAGATGTCCAAATATCAGGAAATAAGACTCCAAATCCTGCTGCCACTGCAGCTGACTTGTCCCGTCCGTGGTGAGCCAGGTGCATCTGAGCTTTTTTGCCCTGAGTACGACTTCCAAGGCATTCATTTCTACCAAAGAGCACTGCAAATGTACTGTTTAAACAAGTGTTCAACTCCTTTTAAAAGATCTGAACCTCTTCCACTGAAGAAAACATTAAGAGTGTTATACTTTTGTGCAATGCTCTTCATTTCTTGTTGTTTTATGAGATCCCTGATCATCTTTACACATGAGTTGGGGTTTTCCCACATCTTACCTCTAGATTTTCTTAGCTTATATTGTTTTGTCTCTAGATATTTTTCTGCTGAACCAGCCCTCTTCCTTTGCTTCCTGTTTTTATTTGGAACTCTTAACACGCTTGTCTGTTATTTGTGTGTCATCACCTGTCTTCCCACAGAACCCAACAACATACCTCTTTAGCCTCAACAGTGTACATCTGACTCAACATTCACAACTTTTGCTTTCAATTTCCTACATAATTCTTTTCTGGCAAATTCTTGGTTTCCATGAATGTTTTACAGCATTTTCTTTAGTTCTGTGCAGATCCAAAGAGGTTATTTCTGGTTATGAGCAGCCAGTGAGCCATGAGCTAACCCGCTCTGATACACACTGTGTGTTTCCAGGTCTTTTGCGTGACATTTTGTTTCTTGGTGCTTTCAGAACCAAAGTACGGGTTAAAACCATATGAACTGTGAAAATATATGTGCTGTGTGCACCTGGCATCATGGACTAAATCTGCATTCTCTCTCTCTCTCTCTCTCTCTCTCTCTCTCTCTCTCTCTCTCTCTCTCTCTCTCTCTCTCTCTCTCTCTCTCTCTCTGTGTGTGTGTGTGTGTGTGTTTCTGTCTCCCTGCAGCACATGTGCAGTAAATGTGGGATCTGGAATAACAGCAGGACGTGCCCTATGTGGCTGTGTCGAATCTGCAACGAGCAGCAAGAGGTGAGTGGAAAGAAATAGGAAAGGCCTCTGCAGCTTTGGACCAATTTGTGGCATTATGCCATTAGTCTGCCACTTGGAGCTCAGCTTTTCTCTTGATATGAACCATTTTCTATCATTTACACTCATCTTTTTGCACAGAATTGCATTTCACTGCTCATTGGACTGGAAAATTAGCTTCTTTTGATAAGCCTCAACCATCCTAAATGATGTATAACAATGATTTACTTCAACAGTTATTGCATTCAAAAAACTTAAGGTATTAGAGTTAATATGTGATGATTAATATGATCTGCCCCCTTTCTGATCCTGTTGTGCAGTTTTTTTTTGATTAGGGGGTTGTGTTTAAGCACTCTTTAAATAAACATTTCCTCCCATCAGTCATCAAGTTCATTGTACCTATAGAGACACTTTTATCTGTTTTGTTAAGCAAACAACAAAAGTTTTTGATGTGCGTATGATGGGGTCTTGTTTCAGACATTAATCACCTTATTTTCTGCCTCTCTTACGTAAAAGATGATCAAATGTCTGTCTGTGCTACGAATTTCATGCAAATGTGAAAGATACATTTCTTGTGCCCATAAAATTTTGTCATTCAGGAAAGTTGAGGGTGTACATATACATCTAATATTCAAAGGTCATTTTTGTACCTGACGCTTTGCTTCAGATAAAAAATGAACTGATGAGACCATATGGTAAAAAATGTTAGATCCCCTCTGGATTTTGGAGTATTTTTGTATAGAATTCAGTTTAGTTCAAGTGAGATTAAAAGGTCATTCTTACCGACAGCTGTCAGACCCTATAACACAGTTTAACATTGGTTATTTATGCACCACTCCTTTAACTGAGATATTAGCTGTTAAGTTGCTGTTACTCATTTTTCAGCGTGGTTGTAGAGTGTGTAATTCACCTGGATCATTCACACACACTCCACACCTGAGTACATATCTCTGTACATTTTTGTACATATCCCAGTGATTTTTAATCTGTTCATACACTAATATATATATTCTCTACAAGGCTATTTTGTGTCTTCTTCTATATTCATTTTGCTATAAGAGCTGTGTAACACTTACATTTCTCATTTGTGGGATGATATTCAATTCTATTCTATTCTATTCTTTTCTTCATTACCAGTTAGGGAAGACTAGAAAATCCACAAGCTCTCAATAAATTAGTATCAGCTGATTTTTACTAGCAATCATTGTAATGAAGGTTGTGCTAATTAGACAGACGGCGTGACACAGTTGGTTAGTTGCATTGTCTCACAGCAAGAGCATCCTGAGTTTGACCAGGGCTGCAATACTTTGTGTGTGTGTGTGTGTGTGTGTGTGTGTGTGTGTGTGTGTGTGCGCGTGTGTGTGCTTGCGTGCGTGCGTGTTCCATTTTGGCTCCCATTTAAAGCTGCAAGTTGAAAGATTGTGATCTTTAGGCTGGTGTGACTGTCACTGTCAGAGTCGGTTTCAAATCACAACTGTTACCTAAAAGTGGGATTTTTATGTCCTAGGTGTCTCTTTAGCTCCCTCTGGACCACCATGTTCTTCACAGGAACATCATTGAATACTTTGGAATTATCTAAGCCTATCGGTTTCAGCTGCGCTGTCATTCAAATAAAGACAGCCCACAGTACGCGTCCTAGAGTAACTTTTTGTGCTGAAGCTTAAGTGGTACTTTTCACTTTGAAATGAACTTTCTTTTTATAAATAACTACATGTAATGTGGTGGAATGGATCTGAATAATGAACCTGAAGTGTCACCTCTTCTACTCAAATACACACAAAATTAAACATCCCCCTTAACACTTTGGTCCATTGATTTAAAAATTAACAAATACGTTGTTCTAACAAGATTTTAGGCCCAAATTTACCTAACTGTTTTGTGTCTTTTCTGGGAGCAATTTTGGGGTCTGCATCCATGCAACTCCTTAGTTAATGACCTCACAAAAGAAATACAGAAATAAATAAGTAAGAAACATATGTACATTTGACAGTGCTCCTAATCAAGCAGCATGTTCACGTGTTTGTGGCGATTACTCACATTTAAATGAGGAGTTTATGTATACATATAAAGTTCCTGTATCATGCAATTGTACACCTTCCAGAGCAACAGTAGGCACATTTGATAAAAAAAATTGTGATATATTTTTTATGACATATAAGTTATTTTTGTAAACCATTACTTCTAACTGGAAATAAGACAGTTGGATTTGAGAAAACCTTCACCTTCGCCAGTGTGAATTGCACAATACACAGCTGCAAAGCTGGAGACTTCAGATTCTAGCCAATGTGTCCCACTCACACCATTTTGAGAGCGTTTTTAATGAGCAAATAATGTAAAATGATCAAATGCTCTAAAAAGTGGACTTTGCATGATATTGGACATTTAAAGATATATTATAAATCGACTCATGTTTGTGTAAACCCCTGCCAAGGCTGAGAGCTTCTGATTCTCAAAGGCCTGCTCTGTCTGCAACGCACAGTTAGAGAGAAACATTTATTGTTTCTTGAGAGTTGGAAGTGTTTGTGTCCCAGGAGAAAGGACAAAGAAAAATAACAATTTTCTGCATTGCTGCCTTCAAAAAAGAGGTCAGGCATATCAGGAACATATCTGAATCCTTGTATTGATGAGTCTCATCTATACAAGGCTGCCAACTCACACAATGAGACACACGCATTTAACTGTCTTCACACTCTCAAACGCCACACCTCCTATTTCTCACGCTAAAAAAAGTGAATCTATCTGAGCTACATGCATTGCATTATGCTACTGTAAACACTAGCTGCAGCGCTCAAAACTCAGTTTCATATCGACTTTTTATTAGTGATAAGAGGGAGTTGATGGCCTCCAGCAGCAACAAGCTATAGTTACTTTCCAATGGTTACTTGGTATAAACCTTTCATTTTTTTATTGAAATAAAACCCTACAGCATTTGTGGTGTTAGCATCAGGTGAACTCACTCTTTTTCTCATAGTGTTTAGCTACAAACACAATGGAAATGTTACAATGGTAAACACAATGGTCTCCCCATCTACCTTTCTCTTCTAAATGGTTTAACAGGACCAAAGTGTAAGTCCAGTTTAAAGTACTTGCAGCTAAAGCAGGAGTTATCAAGCGGCTAGCTCTTATGCCCTCTAGTGGTCACAGGGCAAAACTATGAGACTAGACTTAGAGGGATTTTTATAAATAAAATTATGAAAATGTAATGTCAAAAAATATATATATTTAGTTTCAAAACCTAACCAGCATGTGTTTATATTTTGTTAGAAAATGGCACCAGCTGAAGTTTGTATTTTATAATCAAACAAAGCACTACAAACATACCAGATGCTCTCTGGCAGCCACAGGGCAAAGCAAACTACAAACTACTTCAACTCAATACATCTATTTTCATTATCTGATTTAATTTAATCAGACAACTTAAATTTTTAAGTTGTATGCAATATCCTATAAGGCAGGGGTGGGCAATTATTTTTTCCATGGGGCCACATGAGAAATCGAAAATATTGTGGAGGGCCAGGCCAAAAGGCTGAAGTCAATTATGCATAATATTAATGGTATTTCTTTATAAAAAGCAGTAAATAACATTGTTTTTTCAAGCTGGTAAGAGTGGACTATATGTTATAAATGAGCAAAAAGGAAAAAGTGAGGTTGGCTTGGAAAAAATGTGATTTATTCAAATTTCCCAAGGCAATGGTAAACAAAGTGCGCATTTGGTTTTTGTTAAACATTTGTGACTTAAATTAGTTAACAGTTTCAGTCACATTCACTCCAAAACACATTCTGAGTTTCAAATATTGTTGGAAAGAGGTTCTTAGCATTCTACAGACACACATTGTCTGTAAAATAAAACCACTGAACTGTGATCTTGAGAAAGAGGTTTAAAAAAAGTGTCCCAGTTCACTGCTAGTTGCCTACATTTGTGGTCCAAACACCTTATTTTGTGTTTTTAAGCGATTTTTTTTTCTTATTCAGTGAGAGAAATCTAGTCTCTGCTGGGCTTTAACGAGTGCATCAAAGTCAGGTTGAATGTCTGAGGTGGAGATGCAAAGCACAGCTGACAAATGATCATCAGTGAGAGAGGATCTATACCTGGATTTTGTAAACATCATCATTGAAAATGTTTGTTCACAAATGTAGGTAGAGCCGAAGAAAACCAACATCTTCTGAGCATGTCTCCTCAGGTTTGGGAAGCTCTCCTCCCTAAGAGAAGAGTAGAAATCCAGCAGAGATCCTGAATCTCTGCTTTCAAGTCCCAAACCCTCTTCAGCACTTTCCCCAGGCTGAGCCATCTGACAGCTGTGTGGAGTCCTCCAAAAGAGCCACAAACTGTCTGTGATCCATTGCCCGCGCCCTGATGAAGTTTATTATTTTAGTAACAACATCAGTAACATGGTTGATTTTTAGCACTGATGTGCACAACACATGTTGGTGTATAATTCAATGCAAAAACACCAATTTTTGATCTGCATCGATTTCTGTCACTTTATCTTGCATGCGTTTCAAAAGTCCGACATTTTTCCCTGTAAGATTTGGACAACCGTCTGTTGTGACAGCTGACAGTCTCTCCCATTTCAATCCCAGAGTGTCCATGCACGCATTTACCTCTGTAAAAAGATCACTCCCTGTCGTTGTCCCTTTCATCGACCGCATTGCTGCCAGCTCCTCTGTGAGCTCCGTTATCCCCGGACATCACAGCTCTCGTCTAAGGCCAATGAGAAAAAGTCAAAACTTGCCACTTCACGTTGCAGCTGAAGCTCCAGGTTCCCCACGGTTCGCCTGGACAGCGGGATTTGCTCAAATGTGCCTTTTTTTCAGGGCATATTAGTGCTGCGGAGTCCACCATGCACTCTTTGACGAACTCTCCCTCCGAAAACGGCTTGCTGTTTTTAGCTGTTTTGTGGGATATCACAAAGCTGGTCCTGGTTGCTGCATCCCTGGATGTGTGAAGCTTAGTAAAACAGCCTTGCTGCTTTTGCAACTTTGCTAGCAAAGCTTCGGATGTCCGCGCCCTCTCAGCATCAGATGAGTTCTTGTATTTTTCCGAGTGTTTCTTGTCGTAATGCCGACTCAAATTGTAGTCCTTAAACACGGCAATCTCCTCCCCGCAAACCAAACACACGGCTTTGCCTCCGACTTCAGTAAAAAAAAAAAAAAAAACTTAGCAGTCCAATTTTTGTTGAAAATCCTGTATTTGGCATCTTTCTTTCTTTTTTCTTTTTTTCTTTTTTTTTTTTGCATGAGCGGACATTTCTGGGGCTACAATCACCATGTCAACCGCGGGCACTTGTTGCTATACGTATTGCGTCATTGTGCACGTAAAAACAACTTCAAAATAAAAGCAATGCAGCCTTAGCCCATGCATGAGGTAAAATGAGAAAATACATTTATTTTGTAATTTCCAATTAACCTTACGCGGGCCGGTCAAAGTCAACCAAAGGGCCGTATGTGGCCCGCGGGCCGTAAAATGCCCAGGTCTGCTATAAGGTGTAAAGGGCAAAACAGAAAATTAGTCAAATGTACTAACTAGATTTTAACATAACAAATTAATGCAGAAGAAACACATTTCCAAATCAGTTTTATTCACAGTAAAACATTCTTACCAATGGTTCTCTTTCTGGAGGTGAGATGGGTCCAATGGGACAGAAGGAGCAGCTCACTTTCTGTTGTTCAAATAAAAAACCATGGACCCAAAGTGTGTTTGTTCTAGTCCTGGGCAAAAAAAAAAAGGATTTTTTGTTGCGGGTGATGAAAAAAAAAATGTAATCGAGTTTTTATGTAATGGCGTCTTTTTGGCTCCCTGGAGCTTCCATAGTGTTAGTTTCACATACCAGTATGGCAAGCAACAATATAGCACACACAAAGGTCCAATCCCAAAACTCGCATTGCGCCCTGCGGTCTTCAGCAAAGTGCACTTGGAGAAAGTAAGCAGTAGGGTTCGAGTGAGTTATACACAAGTGTGCAAATTATTGCCGAATTGAGACAGGGAGCATTGCGTCATCGATCGCAATGCATGCCGGGATGCTGGTCGCTGTGATACATTTTTCTAAAACCTTTATGAACAACTTTCAAACAAACAACAAAGCAATTATTTGAAATTAATTTTACTTCACTGCTGCTTTGTCTGAAACATTCAGAGCACTAACTAATCATCCTAAAATTAACTAATTTCTTTAGAAAATACATATTTTCAGAAAAGGAACTTGAGCCTTTTCTCCTGAAGCAATAACTTGTGGGTAATACCCTTGCCCGAGGTCTGCATCGCTGCGGACTTGGGTGAAGTGCACATTAAGGGTGCAATGGGGGTGTGGTCAACTTCCACACTTGAGAATCGGGACATCCTACGCACTTGCACCTCTGGCTGGGAATGCATAATTGAAGGGCGCGAGGGTGCAAGTGCGAGATATGAGATTGGGCTGAAATTGCAACAGCAAGCAACAATATGGCCACCGGTGAGAGTGGGGAGTTTGTTTCTAAGGAAGGAATGAAATTATTTGTTGTTTGGAACTGGTATGGGTTTGCTGTGACAGACGTGGAGCAAAAGACCTCACGCTGCAATATTTGCCTAAAGCCCATCGCAATCAAAGGTTGCAGCACCACATGAAGTGTTAGCTTTGCACATAGCCAAAGACATGATTTTGATAAAATAAAAGCAAAATTAGCTTTACGTTGTCCTCCATTTGTACATATTGTTTTTTTTAATAATTGGAGTGGGGATCGGAAAAAAAAATCGTAAATCGAATAAAAACGTTAAATCTGAGATTTTTTTTTTCGGGCCATATTGCCAAGCCCTAGTTTGTTCTCATTTGACAGATACATTCATGTTATCTTCTTTTAGATCCAGAAGCGCTCAGGAGCTTGGTTTTTTAAGGGAAGAGACCAGCAGTCAGGTCTACCTTCTCCCCTGCCTCTATCCAGATCCCCACTGTCCGCCATTGACAAAAACCCTGACTCAGGAGGCCTCGGCGAACCACGGGGGCCCAGAACTCATCATCAGAGTCAAGGTAAATCCCACAAATGTTTGCATTTATTCAAAAATCTGCTCATTAAAGATGGAGTACTGAGTCTGCTCATTAAAGATGGAGTACTGAGTCACTGAATCAAATGTGTTGGACCAGAGAAACCACTAGGATGAGCTGGATACCGGCCTTCAAGACCCGGAACTGAATAGACCTGCTCTAAAGTGTAATATGTTGTAATGTCACATACAATTTTGTTGAATGGTATTTTCCAGATTTGACTAAAATGGCTATAACGTCATCATCTTTTATTTTAGATTTTAAAAAGTTTCTAAGGAACAAAAACCTACCCTAGAAACCTGTCGCTGTTGCAAAAAACTGCCCTGCAGGTTGGTTTAGCCATGCGCCATTGTAGCCTCAGCAGATCTACCATTGGGCTGAACAGTTTGGTGTCTAGCCAATCACTGCGCTCTGCTTGTAGAGAAACATTGGGCAGGCCTAGCACCAGGGCTCTGAGAAGGAAAAACTACAAAGTTGGTGTTGGTTCATGAATGGCACTCATCTGAAACGGCTTTGGCATCAACTTTGAATTATTTAAAATTGAGCTTTTCTTTGACACATGAGCAGATAGAGGTACTTGAGTCTTTTATTTTGAAAAAGGTTGCATTTTCTTCTTCTTCTTCTTTGATGATGTAAGGTGGACTGCCCCATTGACTGATTTCCAAAGCGATGAATGTAAAACTTTCTTTGCTCTGATTGGTCGCCGTCTAATTGCGTGTGGAGACAGTTTGAAAGATATCCATAGATTCTGCCCCATGACCAGGTTCTTTCAATAGTGTCGACACTGGTGTTGTCGAAGTTGCTCCCACTCAAGCAGCATTGATGGTTTTATTTTGTCTCTGCAGAGCCACAGCCGAGGCTGTCCCACAGATCAGAACAATTGGAGCAGACAGCAAGAACAACAGCTGACAGCTGTAATGAGAGTCAGACTAGTCAGGCAGCTGTAATGAAGACAGAGAGACATGTGTTATCTTCTAAACCACCTCAGGCAAACACACAGCAGCAGGCGGCCCCCACTGCAGGTAAAGTCACACAGCTCCTTTCTAAGAATAGGCCTCCCACTGCAGGGGCTCCATCCAAAACACTGAACATCAATTCCTGAAAGACACACACCAGACGGGATCAGCTGCTCACTGCGTGCTGACATGTCTACTTCCTAAAGCAGATGTGGAGAACAAACACTCAGACAAGGTGGAGGGAATGCACCCTCCAGCTGTGGAGGAAAAAAGACAACCTGTTGTCTCCAGCTCTGTTCCAGCCAGATCTACTCCACCTGTTAATCCTTCTGCCAACAACCCCCCTCCCCGTAGACCCCCACCAGACACCACCGAGGAACCGGACATCGAATATGACTCAGATGATGCCAGTAAGATGGACTGTTCTAATTAGATCACCTCCTTCATTTTATTCTAAATCAATAATAATAAAATAGAATGATTAATGTAATGATTTTATTCTGGTAGCCACTTTGGGATCTCTGGAGTTCAGCCTTCTGTATGAACAGGAAACTCATGTCCTACAATGTTGTATCATTAGAGCTAAGGTAAAGACACACACACACACACACACACACACACACACACACACACACACACACACACACACACACACACACACACACACACAGGAAAAGGCAAAGTCGTAACGAGATAGGTGACAGGGCGGGACAAACATGTTATCGATGACAGACAGAAAAGAAACAAAGAGGCGAAAAGAGACCTGAGGAAAATTGAGACTGATGGCACAGGAAAATAATTCAAAATGCATAAATCCTAAAATATGTCAAAATGAGACAGAGTCACCAGAGACTAGATGAGACAAGAAGGTCAAATAGTGCAGCACGAGAAGATAATAGAGCAAAGGAAAAGACAGAATAAAACATGATAAAAAAAAGCTGACAAGACAAACAGGACAAGATGGACTCATGAGAAAGAGACTGAAGCAGAAACAAAACAAGGTGTAGCTGGACAGGCCACACAAACAAGGCAACATGGAGCAATATAGGATAAGCTGTTGGTATGAAACGTCTGACAAACAAAATAAAATGACATGGGAAAAAACCAAATGAGACAAAGTGCAGCTAGACGAGGAACTTTCAAACCCAAAGGGTCAAGGGAAAAAAAGCAAGGACAAAAAAAAGATGGGAAGAGCCAAAATATTCATATAAATACTCCCAAGTCAAAAGACGAACAAGAAGGAACCAAAATAAATAAATAAATAGCCACACAAAAACCTGCACAAGCCAAATATATGGCAATAAGAGGAGAGGAAATAAAAATAAAAGCTAAAAAATAACTTAAACAAGTTGGTCTGATTCAACAAAACAAAGCAGGAAAAAAAGAAAGAGACCAAGACAACTAAAAATGTAATAATAATAATAATAATAACACATTTTATTGGGAGCACCCTTCTAAAACCCAAGGTCACCTTACAGAGATAAATCATGAATGAGAACATTGTGAAATAAACATTAACACAACAGTGAAGAGTAGTGCACAAGAGCTGAAGCCAGTTAAAAAGTCAAGAAGCCTGTTTGACCAGATGTGTGGCTGTGAGCTGCATCTTAAAATAAAGTTTGTCAGTGGTCCTCATGAGCAGAGGAAGTGAGTTCCAGAGCTGCGGTGGTAGGACAAGCAGGGAGGAAAAAGATGAAGAGCTGAAGATGGCCTTAGAGAGCAGGGAGCAGCGCTGAAGATGAGCAGGTCACACCTCAACATGAGAAGCAAACATTTAAATGTAATTAGGTTTCTATGGGTAACCAGTGTAGCTGTTGAACTGGAGTAATGCATGTTCTTGAGAGGTACCAGTTATGACTGGAGCTGCAGAGTTCTGTGGGAGTTGGAGTTTATGAAGGGACTCGTTTGGGAGACAGGAGAAGTACTAATCAGTCCTGGAGCAGATGAGACTGAGGACAAGGACTGCAGCAGCATAGGGAGGAAGAAAAGGACGATATGATTAAGAGTTTGAGGTGATCAAACAGGGCAAGACGTGGAGACACACAAACAAGGACAAGGACAAAATGGAGCAATATCTGAGAAAGTGATGAAACATAATAACAAAAGATAGGTCAAGAAGACCGAATTTGATTTTAAAATAAAGAAGAGGTGTGGAATATAGCTGCCATGCTTTAAATGTAAATCAGGAGTGTCCAGACATTTGAAGTTGACTGTCAAAATCACCAAGTTAAAGGTGTGGAACTCTGAAAAACCGTTTATAAAATCTTATTTCTGATTATAATCAGTCATTCTGAGTTTTTCTTGCAGGCTGAACATGAAAATAGTCTCCTACACTTATCTCCTGCATTAGCCTGAGATTTGAAAAACCTGAAAGATCTACGATGCACTGTCAATTAATATTCATGGACTCATCCATAGACATGAATACGTAGATGCCCCATTGGCGCTGGAGAGCATAACAGCGTCGCTGCCATATTGGATGGGTCTCCTCACACTCCAAAGTCGATGCAGAGTGGGCAATCATGCACGTTTTTGTGCAACATCCTGCGTACTATTGAAAACAGGTCACGTGGGATTACTATTGACTTTTCAAGCCTACCTGATGGGATTTTATATTTAAATTTATTTTAGTTTATTTTGTTTAATCATATTTATGTATTAATTATCACACCCTACTTTGTGTCTGATTTTGTGAAAAAGCATAATAAAATGGGTTTTTTAGTTGGGTAAGCACCTCCATCAGTATAAATAAATGCACTGGTGGTGAATGGAGACCCGTCTAAGATGGCGGCCACCCACTACAGCAGCTCCAATAGGCAGCGCCAGTCAACGTATATACACGTATATGTCTACGTAAATATGTCTATGGACTCACCCATCTTGACTCATGACAGGGAAGACTGTTGTTGGTTTAGCGTCTAGGAATCAGGAAGCAGAGAACATCTCAGCTGGTAGAAGCTAACCGTTAGCATTAGCAACTCCACCACACAGCAGAACTCATTCAGGCTTGTGTTATTTGTGGAGATCGAACATTTACGTTGCAAGCCAGTGGTTGAGTCACATTGCTATTATGCAATCTATTGGAGCTGAGATGTCCAAATTTCAGGAAAGAAGACTCCAAAAACTGCCGTCTGAAGCTCAGCTGTGATTTGCGCGACTTATAGTTCCTAGAAATGGTTTGACTCGGTTTGGTTTGACTCAGACTAGTTGTCAGCATGTCAATAATGTAGGAGGCAAACTACATTTTATTATATTTTAGTACAAAAACTTCCCTGGTAAGTTTAAACCTAATCCCTGATTTTCCTTCTCAGGGTTTGAAGCCAATGGATTCCAACGGACTTGCGGACCCTTATGTGAAGCTGCACCTGTTACCTGGAGCCAGTAAGGTACCAGTTGAACTTGTTTATTGCCTACTCTATATTCTGAAAAATAGTTGTAACATCTTCTTTAAGTCTGGTATGGAAGTATAATCACTGTTGGGTTAGCAGCATCAAAGCCAGAGACCTAAAGAGGCAGAGCACATGACAGATGAAGTAGCCTAGGTGATTTTTGGGTCCCACAGCAACAATTTACAGTGATGATTTGTCGTATAGACCCACGTCTAAATCTGCTCCTGTAATTCCTTCACGTTTTTTATTATTTTAATTTGCAGTCAATATGATTATTGAGTTCAACAAGAGAAAATAGGATCCTTATTGAGAAACTTTCATGATGTTTTCACACAAAATGCTAGACGTTATCATTCACCAACATATGCTAAGCTAAAGCTAACAGAGTACTCCTCGATTAGAACAGGGCTTGTTACAAAATTATTTTTCTCGCTTATCTAAATCTGGGGAATATGGCAACGTACTAAATTTCACTTAGAGCTGGAATATCCCTTTAATTTCCCTTCTGGGATTATTAAAGCATTTTTAATTTGAATTTGAAGCTTGATCTTTCTCCTATAAGTATTTAGTAGATTTTTGGAGGCAGAAAGTGAATTAAATACAGTTTTTCAAGCTAATATTTTAGGTTTTGGCTCCTCAGTTCTCCTCTATTTGGTTCTCTTATCTGGAAATTAACCCCTCATACTTTCACCCTGTCCTCAGTCCAACAAGCTTCGCACCAAAACACTTAAGACCACTCTGAACCCGGTGTGGAATGAGACTCTGGTCTACCACGGCATCACTGATGATGAAATGCAACGCAAAACACTTCGGTAACTTTATTCAGTGTTCACTACTGCCCTATGTAGATAAATGACTTCATGGAGCAAACCTAATGTCTCATCAGGCTTTCAGTGAGTGACGAGGACAAGTTTGGACATAATGAATTCATAGGAGAAACACGAGTGGCGCTGAAGAAACTCAAGTTCAATCAGAAGAAGAATTTCAATGTTTGCTTGGAGAGAGCAATCCCAGTGAGTCGGAGCACAATACCTACTGTACCTGTTGGGCTATATGGTAAAATGTGTTTGATCTAGAGAAGCTTTTTACCCACATGACTAGCTGCTTACCGAGAGTTGAGGTTTACTAGCCTCTGTTGTGTGTTTTGTTGTTAGGGAATAAAAATAGAAAGAAGGATGTGTAGTTTCTACATTACTGAACAAAGTATACCACATTTTACATAAGTTCCTCTGTTTCCAGGTCAAGAAGGCTGTTGGGGGATCAATCCGTGGAATGGCTCTTTATGAAGATGACGTAAGAAACACATGGACTCAAACTATTCATTGAACAATTGTTTTTAACAAGTCCTTGTTGTTGCTCAGAATATAAAGTAGGAAATCATGTGTGCGGCCACAAGACAAGTTAAACAAATGTCTGTTTGTGCAAGTGCTTCAAGTGTATGTTTTATTATAAACACGCCTTTCTAGTAACGTTTTTGGGTCTAATGTGTCTCCTACTGCAGCAGAAGTAAACCTTCAGTGATGTAAAGGTGTACCTGCAATGAATATTTAAACATAGAACGTGGCAAAAACAAACAGAGATGTGTTTTAGCTTTGCAGTTTGTCCTGTTGCTTTAAGTACTGTTTTAAATATTTACCATTAAAGTTTGTAAAGTACTAGGCCACCCAGAATTCAATGTCAGAAAGAAAATCTGTAAAATTATCAATTCTGTTGTAATCTATAGGGATAATTTAGCCAGCATAAATGAGTTTTGACTAGCATGGTTCTTAAAATATTGTCCAATAATGCAAAATAGAAGGGGCCAATGACAGATTTCTGAGGTACACCATAACTTATCTGAACCATTGAAGACAAGTGACAACAAACATTTTGTTTTAAAAGTCCGTGTAATGATTTCAGTCTAGTGTTTTAAATTACAGCCTGTGAATGTAAAGGAAAAATGCTGTGATTGACACCATCAAAGGTGATACCTGGGTTTCACAGAGCTAAAACACTGAGCGGTCCAATCTAAGCTCTAGCATATCAACCACTTTAAAAAGCCTTTGCAGCATGACCGTTAGCTGTTTAAAGGTGAGGTTCACTGAGAAATGTCTAATACTTGTTATTTATTTTTTTTATTTTTAAAAACAATCAGCCACTCTGAGTTTCACATGCAAGCTGAACGTGAAAATAGTCTTCTACCCTATTTCCCTCATTAGCTGATATTTATGGCTAAGCTGAAAATATATGAAGAAATGCTCTGTCAGACAAGGATGACCAGAAGGCTGTGTTGATTTAGCGGTCAGGAGAGATCAGAGAGTGTCTTGTCTAGGTGAGGAGTGAGCACCACCTCACCCCTGCCACGTGGACCTCAAGGGATAAACCATCAATCCTGCTCAATGGTCAACTTTCCTAGCGGCGTCACCCAAAGACAGCGGGAGGGTTAACAGGAAGAAACCTCCAGAGGATCCTGGCTCAGTATAAGCAGCCATCCACCATGACTTACTGGGGATCTAGAAGACACACACACACACACACACACACACACACACACACACACACACACACACACACACACACACACACACACAACATACAGTGTATACTAAGTAGTGTTCCTATGGCTACAGCGTAATTTCTTAGTAAATATTCTATTTAGTAAGCGATAAACTTTATTATCTTTAATAATTCAATTCTAATTCAACAGATAAACTAATAGTAGAAGAGGCTATAAGAGTGTGGAACAAAATGCCACTAGGATAGTTTTGTGTGACCATGACTAAATGATGTAAGAGTGAATGTCTTGTGTATTTCTGTGCAGCTAAATGAAGGTGAGAACTCAGAGGAGCGGGGTCGAATCCTGATATCACTGATGTACAACAGTCAGCAGAGTCGTCTGATAGTGGGTGTGGTCCGCTGTGCTCACCTGGCCGCCATGGACTCTAACGGATACTCAGACCCCTTTGTTAAAATGTACGTTTATCTGCCTCACTCTATATGAACAGGCTGATAGTTTCAGAAAAATATTCTAAATACTTTTAGACGACAGGGAGAAAAAAAGAGTGCTTTAATTGACTTTAAAGCTCCTTGGTGTTATGTAGGTCCTTTTGGATTCTGCACTTATCAAACAGACAAATACTGCTGTTAAAAATATTTCTGCTCATTTGTGTTGCAGATGTCTGAAACCAGATATGGGAAAGAAGGCAAAGAATAAGACTCAAATAAAGAAGAAGACACTCAACCCAGAGTTTAACGAGGTTGTTTTATTACCCGTGTGTGTTACTGACTGTTCCTGATTTCACTCACAAATTATTTGAAGTATTTTCTTTTATTCTCTTTCAGGAGTTTGGTTATGAAATAAAGCACGCAGAGCTTGCCAAGAAAACACTAGACGTCTCAGTGTGGGACTACGACATGGGCAAGTCCAATGATTTTATTGGTAAGGATTGTATTCACCTTAGACTGTTTCATTTTCACCTCAGCCATGGGTTACAGATCAGCCCACATCTCTGGTGCATGAACATTTTAACAGATGTCCCAGGGATTGTCCTGGAATTTGGCTGAGACATTCAGTCCTTAATGACTTCACTTTAACATGGATAAGTACATGATAGTCCAAAGCCAGATTTTGCATCATAATGTCACATCATTGTGCCATTATTGGGATTAGAAGAGCTCTCTGAAATCATTTGAGTTGAAGGACTAACATGTATTCACTCCCTCACAGCTTCTCTTTTTAAAATACCTCTTAATCACAATAATCTCCTTTTGTGAAAACGTAATCAACAAAGATGTGTTGTTGTTTTTTGAAAACTATCTGTTGCTTGTTTGAATTAGGGCGAGTAAATGTTGCTAACCCTTATGTTTGCAGTGGTTTGACCTTCATCCATGACTGAATGACCTTAAACTTTGGGACCACACATGCACCTCAAAGCAACAACATGCAGAACATAAGTGGGCACCAACTACTGAGGG